AAAACTGAAGAGTGCAGCCCACTAGAGCTGCCCTTGTTAGTTTGCTCATGCTCTTTGTTCTCCTTTCAGCCCTTCTGGCTGGGTGTCTTCAAACAAGCTGTTTTGGGGTCATGATTTTTGACGAGCAGCGTACATCGAATACGGTGGTCTTCTTTATTAGAGTTAGGGTGGAAACATGTGTATATGTAATGATGACTGGGTGTGCACTATGTTTTTAACGCGGGCGTTTGGTGGCCAAGTCGCCATGTGGGACGATGCCAGGTGGATTGTCCAGGGTTGACAAGGGAGCAGGTGTCTATTAGATACAGAGCAACAAGGAGGAGGGTGGTGGCGGGTGGGGTTGGATGAGGATCATAAGAGCTTCTGGCATCTACCTTACCTGCTGCCTCCCCTGCAGTGCAGAGCCAGTAAATGGAGAGAAAGAGAGGAGTTAGAAAAGGAAAAGAGACAAAGAGAGGAGCGGAGAGCAGTCTTTTAAAGGAGGCAGCAAGTGTGTGTTAGACCTTTTGTAGAGGAAGCCATTCATGCCGTGTTTTTAGAGCTCTCCCGTCAACTTGCTGTTGTATTCCTTATTCATTGTGGTTACGCCGATTGTAGTTTATTGTAGTCTTGTGAAAACGTTCTTACTTTAAAATGTGTGCGTTCCGTTTAGTTGCAGGAGAGAAAACTGCTCAAGAGTTCAGTTTTGAGTTACTTTAAGTGCAAAGTGGTCACAGTTTCCAGTAATCCTTTTTTTTTTTTTTAGATGAGCATTACTAAAATAAGAACCCTTCTGCAACCGTTGCCTTATCGTCGACTTAGACTCAAAATCTGCGCAATGCAAATTTAATCATGTAAAAAATTGTATACTTAAGCTTCCATATAAAAAAAAATAGATTCAAGACTGCAAGGAGTCGGAAGCAGATGCTGTGTGAAGAGAGTCGCTGTTTGTACTACTGTTATCTCTTTGGAAGAGATAACAGTAGTGAGAAATCACTCTAACCTTCTATTATTTTTGCATTATTGTCCATTTGAATAATTTGCTAAAGCTCACCTGGGATTGAGGATTTCTCTGAAGATTTTCATGTCTTATCAAAATTTTAATTTAGGTCTAAGCCAAATGAAGTAACTCTGTTCCTAAACCTTGAGTTTCCTCCATGTTTTATTTTCCTGGTTCAATACATCTTAATCACATAAATGGTTCATTAAGAGGCCTCTTCATTCCAAGAAACATGGAAATAAGAGCCACACTGAAACCTTTAGTCCTTCTCAATTAATTGATTTTTAACAAAGTTTAGCAAGTACTTTGGAAGAACTTTTTAGCATAAAGTCGCTGGTTTAACTTCAAAGTAATCCCATGACGATGTAAGTCTAATAAATACAAGTCCAGATTTCTCTTTTTGGATCCAGAAGGGTTCTGGTTGCCCCAGTCCTCCAAACACTAATGGGCAGTCACAAGTGAGTAAGCTTTGGATGCATGCAAACAGTCATGCGGCAAGCCAAAGCAAAATACTTGACAATGGTAATGTGTGTGGGGGGTGGGAGGTGTACATTATCATTGGACAGAGCATTGAACAACTGTCAGAGATGCAGTCAATGTCATTTGTCATGTCTCCCCGGGGCTTCACGACAGGGCTGGAAGCTGGAGGCCAAGCGGCTGAACCACCCATCTAGTCCCAGCAGATGTGTTTCCCTCCATTCGCCATGGTTGACCATCAGGCAGCGGCAGCTGAGCACCAGAATATCAATATGGTTCAGACTCTGCTGTTCCCCCTGGGACTATCTACCAAGGAAACAGGGCTGTCCCTTTCCTCTTTACTGAAAGAGGGATAGAAAGTCTTTGCCACCAAGGAAACCAACAAAAACATGACAGAACACTAGTTTGAATCTGTTCAGATTGACATTTGGAAACCCAACACCTGGGGCGATTTTTTATTATTTTTTTTTCCCCAGTTTTGGCTGCAGGAGGGAGACAGACACATCTATTGAAGGGCCATCTGTGGGGTGGCATGGAAAAGAGAAACAGTAATCCTTTTGTGTCCATCATCCAGAGAGTTGTTTTCGTAAGAGAGATGAGGAGGGTTTGGAGTGTAAAGAATAAATGATTGTGTGTTTCTCCTCTTGTTATATGATACCTGAAGTTAATCCCCCAAGTGAATGACAGAGGTGTACATTCAAACAAACTGGTGCTTAGTTGAGGTGGTAACTGAGCTGGGATAAGACTTTTATCCAACAGTAGAACAGAATAATTCTTCTTTAAGTGGCAAAGTGTTGAAACCGTTTGTAGACATTTCTTTCTTCTGCTTATCCTTGCCTGGAGTTCTCAGTGTTGGTTGTGAAAGTGGCCAGAAAGCCTCATGTCAGTCGCTCTGGATCAGTTCACTGTTAAGACTTAAGATTCAGAGAAATGTTCCTTATTATTCCAGATAGGTGAAAACATTATATTAGGCCCTATTTCTGTTGGTTGTGATTTTGGTCCCCCACATTTGAGTTGCCACATTATGATCCCAGGTCAAACCAAAATAACCAAACCGTTTTTGTTTCTCAAATTAACTCTGAGTGGAATGTAAAAATGTCTTTGGTTGTCGATCGTTGGTTGTTAAACGTGATCGCTACGAAATGACGCCTACTGCAGGATGTTTTTTTTTTTTTTTTTCTCTGAGCATGACTTTACCATTTATCTATAGGACATAAAAGACTAAATAAAAACTTGTATTCCATGACGTAGGAACATTGATAATGTGTATATATGAAATTATGGTTTAAATTGGCGATGGGGTCAATTGACCCCGAGCCAATAAATTCAGAAGATGTGTTTATCAACATGAAGAAGTGCAAGTTACCCCTTGTTGGAAGTGAATAATGGGACCTAATTGAGCTGTAACATGCTGGCTGGTTGCCAGGCTGTTGAACTGAAAAACTCTCCCCATCAGAAGGAGCTCTACTGAGAGGGAGATTGCTGTTAAAAACCCTGCAGGACATTCTCTCACACAGACATGTATTAATCTATAAGCCACACTTGGATCAGGTTGCATTTAATTGATGGGGAGTTGCAAGTTGCATTTACCTGCGAGTGTGATGTGTTTGGTTTAACTGCACCTGAGCGGCCTTTTCTGTCAGCTAGAGAGCGCAGACGTGTTAAAGTCGGATCAATTCTCCAGAGAAGCTGCACAGCCTGTCTCCTGGCACCTGCCTCACGAAGAACAGGCAAGAGGAAAAGAGGGGAGGACGAGGAGGGGGAGGAGGAGGAGGAAAAACCCAGCTGCCTCTGTGCCTGAGCCCCGTGCTGCTTTTAAAGGAGTGGGAGGGAGAGGAGGGAGACTGCTGGCACCATCTGTACACGTCTTTTGTATTCCAGCCCTCGTCTTTACACAGAGCGAGGCTGGTGTGCTCAGTGTTCAAATGAAAGGATAGGAGGTGCCTTTTGGGGGCGGGGGTGGTTGCAGCGCACTTGTGTGTCGATGCAGAAACTCGGCGTCAGAGGACATCTTGTGCCCTATTTATTTGTGCGCTGTACAGTGTCAGTGAAGCTCGTACTGTGTTTGCAAGCAGCCATGTGTGGCCACATACCTGGGTTGCCAGTTTTGCGAAGGCAGTCAGCGGCTTTTGTTTGCTCAGCCCTCCTATCAACCCCATTAGCCTGGTGTCTCCTCTGTCAGTGACTCGCTGAAGTCTCTTTTTTTTATTGTGAAGGTAGGATATGAAAGGCAGACCGTGTGTGTATGTTGCAGTATAGATGCAAGGACAGCCTGAACTCTCTGCTGTCACACTGGTGTGACTTTTTATTATTATTATTATTATTATTATTATTATTGCATGAACTGCAGCTAAAATCACTCACCCATCAACCCCTCCAGCCCCTGAAGCGGTGTGAAGCATCAGGAGAGGTTGCTACCTTCCTCTTAGATTGAATCCACCTCCCTTTTTTCGTTTCTGCTGCTTCAGACAGCAGCTACATGAAATCAGAGGGAGTGAGGAGGAAAAGTGAGTGCTTTGTACATAAACATTCACTGCGGAAGAAAAGCATATGATGATCCAACAGACTGTGTTGGCTGTCAAACCATGTGGTAGGTGAGTAAGTGTGGGTAGAAGAAACAGAGTCAGGGTGACCTCTAGCGGCCATGAGGAATAATTACAGCCATGATTTCCCTCTGTAAATTATTTCTGCAGTTTTATATATATATACATGTATATACTGTTGGAGACATTTGGCTTAATTAAAAATGTATTAAGGATGTAAATACAGATTTGTAGAATATATTTTTGTTGCTAATTGTGATAGACATTCGGTGAAAAGATTTGTATATTATACTTACGATTTATAACATAAAATATCCAGACCCCTTCAGCTGTTTCACATCTAATATTACAAACAAAGTTGGGAAAATGATACAAAGTTGTTGCTTTTTTTCTACAAATAAAAGTCTCATAAGTTTGATGTGCATTTTGTATCCCACTCTCTTATGTGTAACCACATCATTTGTAATTGTTTACTGAATTAACTTTATTTTTTTATTTGGCAAATGTCTGATATAAGTTTTCCAACATACATGTTAAGATATTATTTTGTGTTTTAAAGCAAATTTTAGATTTTTTTAAAGTTTGTAAATAGTTCAATAGTGTCGTAGTTTAGGATCTTGTTTGATAGGTTTTTAGGCAGTTGATGGTCAGCTATATTTGCCTACAAACTATATTTGTAGTTTCTTTCTCTCATGAAGCTGTGATCCGTCATTGAGTTTCATTGGTTTTTAGCTGCTCATTGAGGTAAATAACATTCTAAGGAATTGCTTATTAGAAACTTAATTTCAGTTTATGCAGGAGTTACTGAGATTGATATGTCTGATATCTAAATTTGCTTTTAGCTCTTTGTCGTCGGTTTTTTGTTTTTTTTTCACCCTGTCCTACATATTCGGTCTTTCTGTAAGGAACCTGACTGGAAGGAGAGTTTCCCATAGTGGAAAATACTCTCATGTGTTGACCATTGCTGTCAAATTCTCTTCTTCTGCTCTGTCTCTCTCCAGCTCTGTTGTCTTCGTGGTGTGAGGAACTGGGACGGCTACTCCTCCTCCGTCACCAGAAGAACAGGCAGAACGAGCCTCCGGGAAAAGTGCCCATGCAGCCCCCGATGAGCTCCATGAAACCAGGCCTCTCGCATGGGTTGGTGTCGCTTTGCTGCTGCCATTAACACGTCATATGTATTAATGTTGTGTCAGCTGACGGACCACGCTAGTCGAGAAATTCTTACTAGCCGCATGGATTCAACGTGATGAGTGCATGCTGTATAGCAGGATGCTGTATGTTCGCTAAGTGATGTGCTTGTGTTGCCCCTCTGCAGAGATGGTTCTTTCCCCTACGACTCAGTTCCCTGGCAGCAAAACACCAATCAGCCTCCGGGTTCGGTGTCTGTGGTGACCACCGTCTGGGGCGTGACCAACACGTCACAGAGCCAGGTAATAATCTTTCCCTGCAAGAATTACTGTTTGAGTTGGACCTCATCTCATGTTATCAAAAACTGGGTTTATGTCGTTTTCCCAACAGGTGTTAGGGAATCCCATGGCCAACAGCAACAATCCCATGAATCCTGGGGGTAACCCTTTGACCTCAGGGATGTCTGGTAGCAATCCGGGTATGAACTCTCCTCAGTTCACTGGTCCACAGCAGCAGTTCCCCAACAAAGGCAACTCAAACCAAGGCTACATGCAGCAGGGTATGTATGGACGACCCAACTACCCTGGAGGTGGAGGTTACGGTGGCAAGTAAGTGAACTCTGGACTTTTTACATTGTATTATTTAGAAAATGGAGCTTGTAGTAACTTTTATTGTGTTGTTTCTTGGCAAAGTTACCCTGGAGGACCAAACGCTGGACCTGGTGGGATAGGCATCCCTCCGAACTCTCGTCCTCCGTCGGATTTTACCCAGCCTGCTGCTGCTGCAGCAGCCGCCGCTGTTGCCGCAGCAGCTGCAACCGCAACTGCCACCGCCACAGCAACTGTAGCGGCCCTGCAGGAGACCCAGAACAAGGACATGAACCAGTACGGACCGGTAAGACAAAGTTTCCTGCTTGGAGCAAGAATAAAACTCTTCAATTCACATTCAAGTCAGTTGGCTTTTTTATTCGTAATTGTCTTTGCATTTGAGGACATTTCTGTCTTTACTGACTGTCCCAACACAAGGGTAGCTGGGTGAAGTGGATATAGGGACATTATTGAACATCTACAGTTAGAGGTGGATAATTCTATAACAAAATAAAAAACCCATACAATAAAAATAATTTGTATTTTGTCCATACTTTTATGGAACTTACATGGTTGTATATTTCAAGAAGTAATTGTTTAATTTCTTCTTGGTTTATAGGTTTCATAAAATAAGCTGCAAGTTCAATCAAACCGTCTTCTAAGTTATTTGAAAGTTCCTTAAATAATTTAGAAAGTAACCTTTAAGTTTAGGAAGTTCAGGAAGAGTTCAAGAAAGTTTTTTGCATAGTTCTAAAAAGCATCTTTCAATATCGGTGAAGCCTTGTAGTTTGTAAATTTAATGAAAATAACCTGGATGTTTCATTAAAAGTAATGAAAATTAGACTTTAAGTCCTGAAAAATACCTCGTAGATTCCGGAAGCCATCCTGTAAGTTCACTGCTAGTGGATTAAAAGATGTGGAGCGAGTTCCACGAAGTAATTTGTAAGTTCAGTGAAAGTAGCCTATAAGTTCTGGGAAAGCACAGGCAGTTTTAAGCTGCGTCTTTCCTCTTGCTTGTCCAATAGTTTTGTCTTTTACAATGTGTTTTTAAAAAAACAAACATTTACTACGTCAGAGATGGTTGACTGAACCCGTTTTGTTTTCCAGATGAGTTCCTCTTTCCAGATGGGACCAAACCAGGCATACAACAACCAGTTCATTAATCAGTCAGGACCCCGTGGTCCTCCATCTTTACCTGGAAACATGGGTGCAGGCATGAATGCATCGAACATGAGTGGGCCTCCGATAGGAATGAACCAGCCCAGGGGCCAAGGCATGGGGCCGTTTGGGGCCCATGGCCAAAGGATGCCCCAGCATGGCTACGCTGGACCCCGGCCTCAAGGCATGGGTATGCAGAGCATGAAAAGACCATACCCAGGAGAGGTGAGTGGTCTATTCAACACCCACTGTGATATTTATCTGCATTTTGTGTGCTGAGTATTAGTTTTCATCCTCAGCCAAACTATGGTGGGCAACAGTATGGACCAAACAACCAGTTCCCCAACCAGCAGGGGCAATACCCCACCCCCAATGGCTCGAGACCACTGCCGTCCCCCAGCTACCCTGGACAGAGGATGCCAGGACAGCAGCTGCAAGGCCAATACCCTCCACATGGCGGTCCCATGGGCCAGTACTATAAGGTGCTTTTTGCTAAAAGTGTGATGATTAATAGACCGAAACATAAAATGTTGTATTATTAATCTGATTAATCTAATTGCAGCAAGAGCCACCATTCAATGGCCAAACAAATAACTTCTCTGGGAGTGGATACCAATACAACCAGGCTAATATGAATGGGGTAATTAAGCTTTTATTCCACTGTCTAATTTTATTACTTGGCCCATCTTCCAATGAATATCTAACTTAAGTTCAACTGTTTTCTGCTTAGCCTGCTAGGCCGGTGGGCAACTACCCACACTCACCAGTGCCGGGTAACCCCACCCCACCAATGACTCCGGGCAGTAACATCCCTCCATACCTGTCGCCAAACCAAGATGTGAAGCCACCTTTCCCTCCGGACATCAAACCAAATATCACTGCCCTTCCTCCACCTCCAGGTCAGTTACTGAAAAATCTGAAACGAGGGAAATAAAGAACGTCCCAAAACCTTATGGCGGCCTGAACGTTCTTGACGTTGTCTCCTTGTCCTCGATTTCAGCCAGCCACAATGAGGAGCTACGACTGACGTTTCCTGTGCGGGACGGGGTCGTGTTGGAGCCCTTCAGGCTGGAACACAACCTGGCTGTGAGCAACCACGTCTTCCACTTACGGCCCTCTGTGCACCAAACGCTCATGTGGAGGTAAAACTCGATGGAACTTTAATGTCTTCACGATTTCTCTCTGTGTCTTGGAGTTGCCAAATCACAAGTTAATTTTAACTTTTGCCTGTCAGAATTTTACTGACTAAATAATCCAAATTTATTCAAAAACTCAGAAAGGGACATTTTACTGCCTGTTTGGTTTTCAGGCAACTTTAAATTCAGGTTGAAATCCACCCATAGTCCTTAAACAGGGTCTAAAATGCAAAACAAATCACTACAACTGCCCTTTTAGGGATTTTTTTTGCAACAAACCAAAGGTCTTGGAGTTCAGAAACCCTGCTTCAACTAACCGAGCTTTAGTCTGGGACACACGACTCTTCACTTCATAGACTTTGAAATAGAGCTGATGTTAGCTTTTCGGCGCCATAAAAGCAGTGAAATGGGCCAATAACGCACTCCAAAAAACTGTAGCTTATTTTAGCACCGTGTGGTTTCATTATTGTGGAGCCCATAGATAATAAGAACATATTTCCATTCTGGCAGGTGCCAGGTTAATACTTTGCACTCAAATGCCCAGAATGTTACAAAAATGTAGAACGTTTTAGAAACTTAAAAGAAAGTATCGAATTTTGTCTCTTAAATTGTGTTTTTTATGCAGGTCAGACCTGGAGCTGCAGTTTAAATGTTACCACCACGAAGACCGTCAGATGAACACTAACTGGCCGGCGTCGGTCCAAGTCAGCGTCAATGCCACGCCGCTCACAATAGAGCGAGGCGACAACAAAACATCGCACAAACCGTTGCACTTGAAACATGTGTGCCAGCCGGGAAGGAACACGATCCAGATCACAGTGACCGCCTGCTGTTGTGTGAGTAAACTGAATGAGCAGGAAAAGAAATCTAACATAGCATTTTCTGATAATAAAAAAAAAAATTAAATTACTTTTTATATTAGATTTGATCATTTTTATGAGTGTTTATGTCCATAATCCATGGAACTGCTTAACTGCAAGGAAAATAAAACTGCTCTGCAGGAAATGGTTCATTTATGGCTATGAAATGTAAGTAGATGGGAACAAATTGGCAATGTGTCGTAATTAGAGAGGAGCATGAATTGACCTGGAGGCATTTATAACTTGCATACCTGAGGAGGATGTTGGTGATAGTCACCACAACGTTTCCTCCCACAGTCGCACCTGTTCGTGCTGCAGCTGGTGCACAGGCCGTCAGTCCGCTCCGTCCTGCAGGGTCTCCTAAAGAAGAGGCTGCTGCCCGCAGAGCACTGCATCACCAAAGGTATAATCCACTCTCCCACGAGCCGCACCGCAATGTCCTAGTTATAAGTGGACTTTTTGCTTTAAACATTTTTTCCTCCTCCTTTCCTCTTTAAAGTCAAGAGGAACTTCAGCAGCGTGGCAGCGTCGACGGGGAACGCCACGCTCAACGGGGAAGACGGAGTCGAGCAAACGGCCATCAAGGTTTCCCTCAAATGTCCGATCACTTTCCGACGAATACAACTTCCAGCAAGGGGGCATGACTGCAAACATGTTCAGGTGAGATGGACGTTGTGAAAAATATCACCAGCAAATCAGAAATTTTTCAAGTATCTGATTAAAGAGATGTTTCCTTTGTCCCAGTGTTTTGATTTGGAATCATATCTACAACTGAACTGTGAGAGGGGAACGTGGCGATGTCCTGTATGCAAGTACGTTTACTCTCTTTGGGTCCACAGTTGTATTTGTTGTCCAATTAATTGTCTCTGCATTCAGATGGAAGATCTCTTAATTACTCTCATCTTCCCATAGCAAAACAGCGTTGTTAGAAGGACTGGAAGTCGACCAGTACATGTGGGGAATACTGAACGCCATTCAAAAGTATGCAGATTTAAAGACATTTTACTGCACAAATGAGCTTTTCCCACTTTTTTTATTCCCTAACCATTTGACTCCAACTGTTTTCCATCAGTTCTGAGTTTGAGGAAGTCACAATTGACCCAACGTGTAGCTGGCGACCTGTGGCGATCAAATCTGACATCCACATTAAGGAGGATCCAGATGGACCGCTGGCCAAGAGGTTTAAGACGATGAGTCCCAGTCAAATGACCATGCCCAACGTGATGGATATGATCGCTCAGCTCGGCCCTGGACCGTCACCGTACCTGTCGATGCCCTCGGGGCAAGGTGGCAACAGTAGCGAATATGGCAGCCAAGGTAGTAGGTCTTATGCAGCTCTAGTTGTGCAAAGACCATCCAAACCTGTATGTGTGTTTACATTTGCTATTATGTTTTCAGGCAACAATTACCAAGGACACGGGAACTTTGACTTCCCCCACGGCGCTCCAGGTGGTACATCGATGAATGACTTCATGCACGGTCCTCAGCTGTCTCACCCACCCGACATTCCGAATAGCCTGATGACGCAAGACAAACCCCTGTCCCACAACATGCCTGACTCAGTGAGTGCCCCAGCCGTTGCTCTTCTATTGAAAGTCCTGAATTTTCTATTTCACTTTTATTTACATGTTCTTAATTAAGATGTCAAAATGATCTGTATTATCCATCCATCCAGCCATCCGTCCATTTTCCCTAAGTAAATTTAGCACAAACTTTGCAGTGTACATTTCAATGAGAAATAACCAGTTTATCTCTGTTTGCTTGTGCAGCATGTAACTAAGATTTTCTGTACATAGTAAGATTTTACAACCAGCTTTTACTTCCTGCCCATGATGGAGCAACACAGATGGTGTCACAGGGGACAAAAGAAAATAAAAGACATCTTTCAGATGCACATCAAAGATTAGGGTGATGGCAATGAGGCTGTCAGCCTCATAAACCTGGTGCTATCACGGAAAATAAATCATAGAAATATCGGAGAAAGAACTGGGTCAGTAGAGTTTGAGTGCATAATATTTTCCATTGATTATTAGTGATTTTGATACTATTGAACATGCAATTTTTTAGTAAATTGTATTCTTTTTTTCCAAAATGGATACTCCTATTACGTCTTTCATTATCTTATAAGTCTGTCCCTTGCTTTGTATTTTTTTTGTAATATTGGATGAAAGTAGATTGCTTTCATTTAAAACAATGATTAAGCTAGGCTAGCGATACTCCAAAATTACCTAACTAGCATCTTGAAAGTCATATTCCTCACGTCCCTCTCTGAATCTCTACAGATACCTCATTCTGCCGGGCCTGACCAGACGCACGGTCCATTGCAGCAGAGCTTACATCCATCTCCGCACCCCGGGAGCCAATCAGGGCAGCAGCTGCACCACAGCGGACCCCCTCAGCCCTCACGGCAAGCACCGCTGCCTCAGCAGCAGCAAGCACAGCAGCAACAGCCCACCGCCAACAACCATCCACACACCGACCTGGCCTTCAATCCCTCCAGCAGTTTGGACAGCCAAGCGGGGTCGGACATGCCCGAGCCTTCGTTAGATGTGAGTTCTGGAAAACCCGCAGATACCGCACATTCCCCATGGAAGCTTTACACATTTTGGTTGCATTATAAAAACCAAAAGTTAATTCATTTTATTGGAAGGTTGTGAGAAGTTTCTTCAGCTAATTCTTGCAAATCTCCTTTTCTGTTTTTTGCAGCTTCTCCCTGAGCTCGCTAACCCAGACGAACTTTTGTCGTATCTGGACCCCCCAGACCTCCCCAGCAATAGCAACGATGACCTTCTGTCGCTCTTTGAAAACAACTGAGAGGCTTTCAGACACCCACACACACACAAACTTTTACCGATCGCCTGAAGCTTCCCTGAGGAACCGTGGCAGTTACTCAGTACTTGATCAACACAAAGATGCACTCCCTTTCTCTTCTTCCTCTTGTACAATTTTACATTCGCCAGCGCAGATTGACTGCAAAGAATCTCAAAGAAACTCAAAAGACACGGCAAGATTTGGCGGAGCTGCCACGCCCCTCCACCTCCTGCGGTGACACCCTTGACTGTGCAGCTATAGTTGATTTTATTTTTACACCACACACATGTACGTGTGCTCACTAGTAACATGTTGTAGCATTTTTAAAATACTTTCTTTTTGTTTTCTTTTGAAGCTAAAAAAAAAAAAATGAACTCATTGTATAAAGCAGAAAAATAACTGAAAAAAACTGTGCTCTCTGGCCAGTGTGTGTTATGTTTTGTAGTCTGAGAGGCCACAACTTCCTGGTGTCACTGCTCCATTCCCTGACTGGTCTGGTTAGTCGCACTGTTTTGACCATCACCTAAAAGCACAAGAAATTTTAGCACTGCAAAAAATGAAACAAGAAAAAAAAAAAACAAAAAAAAAAAAACATCTTTACAAAAAGGAATGAGATCAGTTTTCTATACATTTGCTGCCAGCGTTTTAAAAAGATTTTTGAAACAGATTGGCTTCCATTTTGTCTACAATTGTTCTGTGTATTTATTTCAGTCTGTGAAGTCTGACTGAAGCAGGGAGTATTTGAAGCCTACAATAACAGAAAGTATGTACATGATGCCTCTTTTACAAATGACTGATTTTTTTTCTTTTTAAAACAATAGATAAAAGAAAGATTGGAGTTCCTGCCATGTTATCTGCTTCCATCTGCTCTGCATGAGCCTTATTTTCTGCATTTTTTTTTGTATCATTTCACCTCTCCTTAAATAATGTGCTGTTGAGGTAGTCTTCAAAGTGCATGTGTGCCAAGCCCTTTGTCAAATAGTGTTTTTTTTTTCTTTCTCTTTGTCAAATTTGTTTTGATTTTATTTAACACTAACATTGAAGGTATCAGTGGTACATCTGTCATGTATCTGCTGATTGTTCTTTATTTTTATTTTTCCTTCGCTGCTGCATAACTACGCTGTCCATCGTTATTTTTTTTTTTTTGAGAAACTGCTCACCAAAGCTAGAGGGATGAGAATGGAAATGTTTGTGTTTGCTCGGTCCTGTGTAAGGCTGCGTGTCCATGGGTGCGTCTCGATAAGTTAGAATATCTTTGGAGAGTTTATGTATTTCAGTAATTCATTTCAAAATGTGATTTATTTTATAGATTCATTGCATACAGGGTACTTTAGGCATTTATTTTTCATGTTTTTGAATGACAAAAATCCCAAATTACATTTCACAGACATTGGAATAAAGACATGTGGTGACTACAAAGGTCACATTCCCAGCAGAAGTCATGATGGCAGGTCCAACTCATTTCAAAGAGTCTTAGCTTGACTGTTTTTCCAAATGTTTTTTTTTTTTTTTTTTTTTTTTTTAATATAATGCTGTTTTTTTAATTTTGGCCTCATTTGTAAACTATGACTGGTTGTTTGTTGGCATTTAATCTTTGTTCTGTATTTTTATAGAAGCTTTACATCTATGCAGTTTTCTTGTGTTACAAGCATTAATTTTAAATATATTAATGGAAAGTTTTGTGGAAGGATAAAGTCTGGTGGGAGAAAAATGAATCGTATAATAAATTAGTTGTTTTTTTTTAAGTTGAATTACTAAAATACAACAACTTTTTAAAATAATATAATGTATAGAGACGCACATGTATGTTTGTGAGACTGCGTGTGTGGGTGTGTGCGCGCATGTTTGTGCACAGGTGATGGCGAGGCAAGCAATGGTTTCTTCCATCACTGCTGTGATTTTCAAAGCAGTATTGGTGTAAACCTTTTTCGTTGTTGTTTTTTGATGTCATGTTGTTCGAGAAGAGTTGCTTTTCAGTATGCAAATGTATTATTTTTTAAGAAATGCTATTGTACTGTAAATATCATTATGTATATTTTTGTATCATCTCGATAATGTCTGTCGTCGTCCGACCTAACCGCACGCGCTCCCCATCTGAGCACCAAACTTCTTCAGCAGTTTTAAACATCTCATAAGCTACACCCTAATGCACGTCGTCCTCGTTTTCCTCCTTTGTGCTCACCTTTCCCGTGTCGGCTCGAGGATGTTCTGCTCCACCTTTTTTCCCCATGTTCTCGGATGTCAAACTCACTCAGAAGCAATACTTTCTTTTCACACATTGATCCTAGCTGATCTCCGCTTCCTGCTAATGAATTTTAGGTTAACATTTGTTCAGTGATGGTGATTTTAAAACAAAAGAGATGTGGTATCAGCTGGCATTCAGTGTAATTATTGATCTATGTGAATATCATGGTCCTAAATGTCAATACATGGTGGTATTTTAAAGATATATCACAACCATATTTTAAAGAAATTCATGATATTGTTTATATTTTTGTTATAGAAAAATGTGGCTTTTTAAAAAAGAAAAAAAAAAAGCATGAGCTCATTTACATTTGTATCCCCCTTTTGTTTGTTTTTCGTTTCTCTTTGGTAACTTATTTTGTACTGGTTTTATTATTAATCTGTAAGGCTAGAAATCCAATTTCTTTCAGCTTGATTTGAATTCAACATTTTTTAAAGTTCTATCCGTTCCAGCTCTGAGAGCATCGACATGTTTCATATCCAAACAATAATGAGACACAAAATTTTAACTTTTTTTTTTTTTAAATGTATGAATCAATCCGATAAATATTTGTCGTCACCTCATAATTTCTTCTTACTTTCAAGTGAGTCAGTTCAGCATTGTAGGCAGCACCCCAAGTGTGCAGTTGCGCAATCACATTAAAGGGCCATTTCTTTTGGGGGATGTTGTTAACAAAAAAAATGTATAAAAAGGAAAATATAAATAATAATAATTAAAAAAAAAAAACAGAGCGGAAAGGGGCACGTTCACAAGTCTGTCCTTGAAAGGATGCAGAGGGCAAAGCTTGTTGAATGTCCCAAGGATGTCTGTATATATGTAAATTAACATAGAGACAAGTGAACAGAAATGTATTCATTTTCCTTTGGGAATGTGCATTGTTTCTTCTAAATAATATTAATAATAATAATAATTAATAATAAATTAAAAAAAAGCTTGCAACACCTCTACTGGAAGTGGCTGACTATGGAAAATCAAACATGTTAGTTTGTGTCTGTGGGTTATCTCAGCATTTTGCCCCCCTTAATTTGTAATATACTTTCACCGTCTTCTGTTTGGGGGAACCAGAACAGCTACGTTCTAAATGTACTATTTAGCCTAAGTGTTCTAGTTTCACAGGCATACTCTGAGGTGCTAAAGCTAAAAAAATAAAACAAATAAGGTTACAAACACCAACAGAAAAGCCACTCAGCCGTCCAGAATGATGGTGGTGAAAAGAATGGGTCCTGAAGATTGTAACCAAAATCCATAATTTGTAAAAAAGAATTTTGATATCATGAAGATTTGAGAAATGACAGCAATCTAAGGTGATTCATGCAATGTGGCCATTGTCTCTATGTTTGTACATTGTATGTACAATCATTTCATACTCCAAACTGGTCAGAAAATAAAGGAACTAATTGTGATTTTTAGTCTTGCAGAATTGTATGTAGTTAGATGATGTGACAGCCTAATATTTATCTAATAAATATGTATTCAGATGATTCCTGCATGCCACTGTGTCTTGTCTTTGCTTCCTCCACAACAGGCAGTTCATTCAAGCACAAAATGTGAATTATAAGCATCAAATTTGAAGCAGCACTTTAAAATAAAATGTATTTAAATCCATATTTGTTGGATTAAGTGGACTGATATACAGAACAATGAGTACAGCCTTCATTGGTTTACCAGCTATGCACTCTGTTCAGAAATCATATGAGCAGAGAGAATATAAGTCATGGATCTTACCTTCTACAATGCTCCTATGGAAATTCCTTGCAAACTGCATCCTTACCATTCTCCTCCAGGATCACGATTTTCCCTGAATATCAGCTCCCAACTCCAAATCCATAAGCCATTATACCTATCTGTCTTATCAAGATTAATCTTCATGCTGCCATAGCCCTTTTCAACATCAATGCTCTTCCTCCAGATGCTGTCAGATCCAGAAACTCACATTGTGCACATTAGTTTCATTATTACAAATAAAGTTCATCTTTTTCACTGTGTCCTGCTTCTGACGCTGCATTGGAGATGATGGAGATGCTTGCCACCCACAGCCATCAGCCTCTACGATAACTCCTTGAATAAACCTGTAGAAGTTACACTGTATCTCTCTTCAAGATTAGCATAAGATTGAATTTGGGGCTGCATGATATTACTATTTGTAGCACTGGTAGATTAAATTGTAAGGCAGATCTTAAATGAAATAAGACGGGCCTGAGTCCAAATTCTAGCTTGTGGTCTTTCAGCATGGAGTTTGTGCTCATAACTTAAATTTGTACATGTGCATTTATGGGTTCTCTCACACTAGGACTATTGCAATGCTCTTTTTACCAGTCAGAACAGATGCATCTTTGAACAAAAAATAAATACTAAAACAGATGAAAGAGGAAGTTACCAGAAATTATGAATGGCTAAGGGCCATGAAATAGAACATAGCTTTTTAGTTTTGTTGTTGTTGTTGTTGTTTCCATTTACTGTCACAGGCTGGCCCTGCGACAGACTGGCGACCTGTCCAGGGTGTACCCCGCCTCTCGCCCGGAACGTTAGCTGGAGATAGGCACCAGCAACCCTCCCGACCCCATTAGGGGGACCAGGATGTAAAGACGATGGATGGATGGATGGATGGATGGATGTCACAGGCTCCAGTCCAGTAGGTGGCGGTAATACGCTCTTAGCCAAACGTGAAAGACATATCAGCAACCGAACAAGTACTTTTATACTTTCTGTAGTCATCCCTGTAGTAGGGCTGTACATGTCTCAGTGGTCAGACCATGTCTTCTGTGTAAGAAAATCAAACCTTGTCGGACAAGGATGAATAAGAGTGCGTCAACAGAAGGAGTTGCTGGTGTGGACAGGGGCAGCGCTGCAGAAGCTTTAAAAGAGCACGACTACGACTGCCACAGCAGTCCTCTCAATGGTTAGTTCGTCCATGGCAAAAACTGGCTTAAAATTAAATTTAACCAGGTTAAAAATGAACAAAATTGATTAATTTATGTTCATAGTTCACCACTTCAGTCAGAATTGGGATACGTATCGTATGCAATGTTGGGGAATTTGCTGCAGTAAGCTGTGTTTTTTACAGTTTGTCTTTGATTAAAATGGTCAAAGGAATTGTCAGCGTTTCATTATGAACTTAATTTGCCCCGGAAGTCGTAACACAGACCCAGAAATGAAACGGCCAGCGTCTCCTAGCAACGCCGACCTACAGCCAATGGCAGTCAAGAGTGTTGCTAATGCCCATTTCACGTCACAGCGCAGCTTCCACGTGCGTGACAATCTCACAAACACAAGCTACAGTAGTAAACACATGCTAGTGGACTAGCATACCGGCAGAAAGTTTTTGCGTCAGGGCTCGAAAAAGAATGGTTCTCCACTGTCAGTGGGGCATCTGTACAGGCGATGTCAGGTATCCCGATCGTATTTGTGGAGGTAAAATTCACAGATTTCCAAAATCTGAAACGGAATGCATTGCTTGGATCAAAGCTTGTGCATGACCGCATTTGCAGCTCAACTGTCGTAGGATCAATAAGAACAATGGAGTGTGTGCTGGTGTAAGTATTATTGCTTTGCTTGCGGATATTTTGAGTGATTGTTTATCCATTTGAGATTCTGCTTTACAGCTTCAGTAGTGTTATCCATTTTGTAGACTGACGAATGGAACATGTAGATTTAATTGAGTGGAATACTATTTTACCAACTGTTTCAGTGTCTATGATAAATATGTATTGCAATATTGCAATTTATTTATTTGTTTATTAGCATTTTGTCGGCGGGGATGGGCCAACAGCGTCCCATCCTTATCCGATACTTGCAGACGGAGCCCGAGTGCATAAAGCAAGGCCTGCAAGAAAAAGAGCATCAGAAAGTGCAAGTAGGCAAGACAGTCAAGACAAGAGACCACGGATTGGAGCAGAGAGCTTGTAAGTACACAATTATACGCACCTATAACACAGTTCTGAATCAAAGTTACTTTATTATTTATCATGTGTCACAATTCACATTTTCCAAAAACTTAATGAACATCTACTATCAATGTCATCTTACATCACATGATGATCACATGAACATGATGCAGGAACATCAATCACTTTTACTTCAGTTATTTACAGGATGCCATCTAGATCACAGTGAATGTTCTGAAATATTTACAGGGATACCTACGATGCTGCGGTGAACAATGATGCAGACAAAAGGACAGAGGATGCAGACAAAGGGATAGGGGTGCAAGCAGATGAACAGTGTAAGTGAGCATAATCAGTTTCGTCAATTTTTATTGCCTACGTGTTTTTCAAATAAGGCACAGCATGATCTCGATAGAAAGTGGCTAAAATTTCTAACATGGATTCCATAAACGGTGTGTCAGGCCACACACTCTTTCTACATGTAGACCCTTGTGAGTGAAAACAATAAAGTCACAAAAATCACATCCTGTGATCATAAGTTGACTTTCCCAGCCTTGCAAGAACAATAGGCATCAGTGATCTTGTCCACAGCTATATTTATGCTGAGGGTGTGATGATCTGCTGTTTTCCTCATCGACTGGTAGCATTTCGCTGTGACGTGCACAATGTCGGAGGCATCGCGTGGCTCAAACACCTTGATGTCGTCCAAAAAAGTCCATTGTCGTGGCTGATATTTTGTGAAAATCCAGCCGAAATGCTACACTAATCGACTCAGAAATACTCTGCAGAGAGTCAGTCGAAATGAAAGACGCCATGTTTACATAGAAACTAAGCTCCGCGAGGCTTTGTTTGT